ATCATAGAGAGAGAGAGATCTATCTGTTGAATGTCAAACTAAAGCCATCAGGCATTAGCTTAGCACAAACACTAAAAATGAGTAAATAGCAATTCTAGATCAGTCCCAATAAAATTCCATCCAATCCAAAGCCTTTTGTTTTTTGTACAAATAAAGTATGTAAATATAACATTTATACAGTGAGCTTTACACTGCTGGGAGGCTTTTTTTGAACCAGGATAGCTGTCCCAAGGGTTTATGCTTATGTTTCATATTTAGCATAAAGATGCAAGCTAAATAAATCCTGGGTAGAATCGTGTTTTGCTTTTTTTTTTCCATGGTGGCTTTAGAAACGTATTTCCTTTATAAATGTCCTTCTCAGTGCTGTTTATGTGCACTACACTCACACTTATTAGATGAACTACGATACCATAACTGACTTAAGTGATGGCTCAAATTAGAGACTTTCTCTAGCATGTGTAAGATTTCAGCAAGGAAATAAAGAAGGCATAGATATCATTTAAACAAATCTCTCAATTAGAGACTTTTTTTTTTCTTTTTTCTTTTTTTTGCAAGTTCCACAACAATATATGTTAACATTTAGGCCTCACTACCTGAAAGAACATGCCATACAGTCTACAGGACATCCAGTATAGAGTGCTGCAAGACTATAAAAGAGTTTTGTTACTGTAGGGTGGAAGCAGTAATGAGCCTTGATACATTTACACTGCTGTGAAGTATGATAAATTTACTGGGGGGTGCAGGACAAACACTGCAAATTCTGCCACAAAAAACTTGTTTTAATGCTTGTACTAAATGTTTTGTGCAATATACACTTGTTACAACAGGTAACTGACCTTATATACAGTATCTCTGTTCTTGATCTTTACATCCCCAGTAATGAGTTGTGTAAAGCATAAATAGTGATTCTGGTTGATGGATTTAAAAATAAATAAATAAAAATAATAATGCTTTTCTTCTGTCCATAAACACATACTCCTTTACAAGGCCAGGATAAGAAACCGCGGCCCCTGCTATTAGTTTTTAAGGTCCTTATTTGTTATTTTAAAGTCCACAGAGCTGCACTGCTACTGATTAAAGATTAAATCAGACATTTTTTTTTAACACTGTTGTACTGTGATGCTATGGTGTTTCTTAGTGGTAATGAATCAACAAGCTCATATCTAGAGTTGGGCGCTGAACGCCCAATGACAAAGATCAATACCGAAAAGGAGGACAGCACTCCTCTGGCATCATTTGTTCATACACTGCATGGACATTTTGGGCAATTGCCCTTCCCAAGTTTGCAAACCGGCAGTAGTGTTAGATCCAAGCACAGGCGAACTATATAACAATCATATCTCACATTACAGTCATACCAAGTAAGAGCTTGAAACTAGAGACAAACCACACAAGACACAGATTACAAAAATCTTACTACAAAAACCAGAACAAAATCATTATTTGTTCTTTAGACCAAAAAACCACACTCTGATCTGACCACCACCTAGAAAGCAGTGTACTGAAGCATCAAAAATTATCATTCTACTTGTTCACCCTGCACCCCAGCACAGAAAACCCAGCAAACGCTGGCCCTCAGAGGTATTACAACAGATCAGCATCGGCCAATAGACTCAACACACACAAGCAGCAAATGCAGCAGTTGAGCCCAACAAAATTATAAACATCTCAAACAGATCTGTACTGTACATTTTTAAAATGTTTAACCACTCAGCAAATTCTTTTCCTGCTCTTATTTGAAAGAAACAAACAAAACCAAATCAAAAATTACCTGCTCAGCAGAGATAGAGCCCCATGGCGTCACTTCTCAGCCTCTTGTTCTCTGTTGTTGCCGTCGTTCAAAAGCTGGCACCAATGTTAATTCTGGTTTTACTTCTTGCAGCATCCAACTTATTTTTAGTTGTAACTTTCTCAAATACAGTGTTACCCACCCAGATCTGCAGCCCTGAACCATAGTTGGGGACCTCCGGTTCATGGGTCAACTGCTTTAGCCCTGGCTCGTAGCCAGTAACTAGCCTTAGAAATCTGTGCTTTTCCGGCGGGGAGAAGTGAAGCAAGAGGGCAGCTAACATTGTTCAAAACACACAACATTTTTAGCTCATGAGGAAATGCTTCAAGAACTTAACATGCATGCAGTTTCACAGCTACTGCTCCATTTATGCTAAAAATTCTGCCATATTTTGTGTTAAGGAGCTGTTTGGTTAAGTGGCTCCTTCTGTGTCTGTCCAGCTGTGTTCACTGAGGTGCCTCATGATATGACTGCCCAGAGAGGTCAGGATGTGGAGATGGCCTGTTCCTTCAGAGGAGCAGGAACGCCCTCATATTCACTGGAGATCCAGTGGTGGTACATCAGAAACCATCTCGACTGGATGGACAGACAGCCCTGGACAACTAATGAAGTAAGTTCATAAGAGGAACACTGCTTTGGGGCAATCCCCGAACCCGGTGGTGGACACCGGAAGTAAGGGATGCCATCAAGCTGAAGAAGGAGTCCTTTCGAGCCTGGTTGGCTTGTGGGACTCCTGAGACAGCTGACAGGTACCGGCAGGGCAAGCGGGCTGCAGCCCAGGCGGTTGCGGAGGCAAAAACTCGGGTCTGGGAAGAGTTCGGTGAGGCCGTGGAGAAAGACTATCAGTCGGCCTCGAAGAGATTCTGGCAAACCGTCCAGCGCCTCAGGAGGGGGAAGCAGTGCCCTGCCAAAACTGTTTACAGTGGAGGTGGGCAGCTGTTGGCCTCAACTGGGGACATTGTCGGACGATGGAAGGAATACTTCGAGGATCTCCTCAATCCCGGCGCCATGTCTTCCGATGAGGAAGCAGAGGCTGAGGGCTC